TTAATTTTAATTTATAATTTAAATCACAAACCAAATTTTTTTATAATAAAAAAATTATTATAAAAAAAATTTAAATCATAAATCAAAATTTTATTTATTTATATTAAATCATAAATCCAGAACTCAGAGGCTTCCGAGTTTAACGACTCTTATAATATCATTCTTGCAAATTTAAATTGTGTTTGTGAGAAATAAAATATGTCAAATGAGATCTCATTGCGTAGATCTCGAAAAGTTATGTGGAATCAAACAAAGAATTACCTGATTTAGATAACCGAGTAAAAAGTTATGGCCTTTAGAAGTTTTAAGATTAAATTATTATTTCTTTCGAAAAAATATGACATGTGTCAATACCTGATGAGTGACGCCTAAATTAAGCATGATTGCCTCTTGAGTGACACCTAATTTAGGCGTCATGCCCAAATTAAGCGTCATATTGTCCAATACTATAATAAATGCGTAATTAATTTATTAAATAGCATTAACTTAATTTTTTTGCCTAATCCTCTCAAATTAATATATTAGATACAATTTAATACATTTTGAAATAAACTTAGAAAAATTTGTAATTAGATACAATTTAATATATTTATTTCGTAGTTAATGTGTAAATATATTCGTAATTATGTATTTTTAATATATTTTATTTAAAATAATGAATTTAAAGTTTTTTAAATAATTTAAAATAGGAATTAATATAAATAAATGAAATGCTTAAACATAAAATAAAAAAGAATTATATGAAAATCTATTATTGAGAATATTTTTGTCTATTTAAAGCATATCCGGGCACAATCTGATTCACATCAAACAGCGAATAAGATACCATTGTCCTGTCAGATAGCTTATCTAATGCACATCAAACACAATATAAGATATGAGAATATCATATCGTATCTTGTTATACTATGAGCCCTTATCCACCAATTCTCTTCCTCTGTTTTCATCTCAAAATTCTCTTTCTCTATTTCTCCAAATCTTGCTTTTCACTCTTTTTGTCTCAATTCCTTATTTTTGTTTTTCTCTTTTATAAACCCTAAACCTTAAACCCTCAGACCAAAGTAAGAGAGACAGAGACAGAAGAAACCTTATTTATTGTTTTTTTGTTTACCTTATTTCTTGTTCTGTCCGATCAAACCGTTCACTCTTTTTTTTTTCTCTTGTCGATCTACTTTACTTGTTTTCCAGCGAATTTTCCTAGGAAAATCTGGAGAACCGATAAAAGATGAAGAGAGTAAGGGATGATGATATTTATGCTGGTTCTGGTTCTCAATTCATATGCCCCTGTAGTTCCTCACGTGGTGATTCCTATGGCCAAACCCAAGTCCCTGGAGGAGGAGGAGGAGGTAGTGTTGGTGGGGGAGCAATCACTTACCAGAAACTTGGGCACAACACTTTCCTGCCAAAGGGATATGAGGTAACCCTTGACGAGGATGAGGCTCCTCCAAAGAAAACGGTTGAATTTGAAGAAGCTATGAGTTTTTTGAACAAGATAAAGAAACGATTCCAAAGTGATGAGCATGTTTACAAATCGTTCTTGGACATTATGAATATGTACCGCAAAGAGCATAAGGACATGGGTGAAGTTTATAGTGAGGTTGCTACCCTGTTTAGGATAATCGAGATTTGCTTGAGGAGTTCACTAGATTCTTACCAGATAGTTCTGCAGCACCTTCTACACAGCATGCTCCGGATGCTCGAAATTCATTGCAGCGCTTTAGTGAGCGGAGTTCTTTGGCACCCATGATGCGGCAAATGCAAGTAGACAAGACACAAGGATATCGACGAAAGAGGCTTCCTTCTCATGATCGTGAGCGTGATCTGAGTGTAAAAATGTGACACGTGTAAACAGTGTCAACACCTGACACGTCACCAATGACGTCTAAATTGGGTTTCAATCAAGAGGCAATCACGCCTAATTTAGGTAATTTTATTTTTGAAAAACATTCATAAGCAATAATTAATTTCAGACCAAAAATAAGATACTATTGTCCTGTCAGATAGCTTATCTAATGCACATCAAACACAATATAAGATATGAGAATATCATATCGTATCTTGTTATACTATGAGCCCTTATCCACCAATTCTCTTCCTCTGTCTCCATCTCAAAATTCTCTTTCTCTCTTTCTCCAAATCTTGCTTTTCACTCTTTTTGTCTAATTCCTTATTTTTGTTTTTCTCTTTTATAAACCCTAAACCTTAAACCCTCAGACCAAAGTAAGAGAGAGACAGAGACAGAAGAAACCCTATTTCTTGTTTTTTTGTTTTCCTTATTTCTTGTTCTGTCCGATCAAACCCTTCACCCTTTTTTTTTTCTCTTGTCGATCTACTCTACTTTTTTTCCAGCGAATTTTCCTAGGAAAATCTGGAGAATCGATAAAAGATGAAGAGAGTAAGGGATGATGATATTTATGCTGGTTCAGGTTCTCAATTCATATGCCCCTGTAGTTCCTCACGTGGTGATTCCTATGGCCAAACCCAAGTCCCAGGAGGAGGAGGAGGAGGTAGTGTTGGTGGGGGAGCAATCACTTCCCAGAAACTTGGGCACAACACTTTCCTGCCAAAGGGATATGAGAAAACCCTTGACGAGGATGAGGCTCCTCCAAAGAAAACAGTTGAATTTGAAGAAGCTATGAGTTTTTTGAACAAGATAAAGAAACGATTCCAAAGTGATGAGCATGTTTACAAATCGTTCTTGGACATTATGAATATGTACCGCAAAGAGCATAAGGACATTGGTGAAGTTTATAGTGCGGTTACTACCCTGTTTAAGGATCATCGAGATTTGCTTGAGGAGTTCACTAGATTCTTACCAGATAGTTCCGCAGCACCTTCTACACAGCATGCTCCGGATGCTCGAAATTCATTGCAGCGCTTTAGTGAGCGGAGTTCTATGGCACCCATGATGCGGCAAATGCAAGTAGACAAGACACAAGGATATCGACGAAAGAGGCTTCCTTCTCATGATCGTGAGCGTGATCTGAGTGTAAAAATGTGACACGTGTCAACAGTGTCAACACCTGACACGTCACCAATGACGTCTAAATTGGGTTTCAATCAAGAGGAAATCACGCTTAATTTAGGTTATTTTATTTTTGAAAAACATTCATAAGCCATAATTAATTTCAGACCAAAAATAATGACCCAGAAGCTTTTAGCATTAATCATTAATTTAAAAATAATATCCTTCTTCCTTAGAGATTTAGAATATTTATTTAATTATTTCCTTTATTCTACAGATTTTTCAAATTGAGTTTTTCGTTTAAATCACAAATCAAATCTTTATTTCATTTTCCTTATTAATAATAATTTTAATTTTAATTTTTAATTTAAATCACAAACCAAATTTTTTTATAATAAAAAAATTATTATAAAAAAAATTTAAATCACAAATCAAAATTTTATTTATTTATTTATATTAAATCACAAATCCAGAACTCAGAGGCTTCCGAGTTTAACGACTCTTATAATATCATTCTTGCAAATTTAAATTGTGTCTGTGAGAAATAAAATTTGTCAAATGAGATCTCATTTCGTAGATCTGGAAAAGTTATGTGTAATCAAAAAAAGAATTACCTGATTTGGATACCCGAGTAAAAAGTTATGGCCTTTAGAAGTTTTATGATTAAATTATTATTTTTTTGGAAAATAAATATGATACGTGTCAATACCTGATAAGTGACGCCTAAATTAAGCATTATTGCCTCTTCAGTGACGCCCAATTTAGGCGTCATGCCCAAATTAAGCGTCATATTGTGCAATACTATAATAAAAGCGTAATTAATTTATTAAATAGCATTAACTTAATTTTTTGGCCTAATCCTGTCAATTTAATATATTTATTAGATACAATTTAATACGGTTTGAGATAAACTTAGAAAAATGTATTAAAATTGTATCTAATAAATATATTAATTTGACATGATTAGGCAAAAAAATTAAATTGTATCTAATAAATATATTAATTTTCTAAGTTTTTTTGCCTAATCCTGTCAATTTTTTTGCCTAATCCTGTCAATTTTCTAAGTTTATCTCAAAATGTATTAAATTGTATCTAATAAATATATTAATTTGACATGATTAGGCAAAAAAATTAAGTTAATGCTATTTAATAAATTAATTACGCATTTATTATAGTATTGCACATTATGACGCTTAATTTGGGCATGACGCCTAAACTGGGCGTCACTCAAGAGGCAATCATGCTTAATTTAGGCGTCACTCATAAGGTGTTGACACGTGTTATATTTTTTTTACAAAAAAATAATAATTTATTCATAAAACATCTAAAGGCCATAACTTTTTACTCGGTTATCCAAATCAGGTAATTCTTTTTTGATTCGACATAACTTTTCGAGATCTACGCAATGAGATATCATTTGACATATTTTATTTCTCACAAACACAATTTAAATTTGCAAGAATGATATTATAAGAGTCGTTAAACTCGGAAGCCTCTGAGTTCTGGATTTGTGATTTAATATAAATAAATAAATAAAATTTTGATTTGTGATTTAAATTTTTTTTATAATACTTTTTTTATGATAAAAAAATTTGGTTTGTGATTTAAATTAAAAATTAAAATTAAAATTATTATTAATAAGGAAAACAAAATAAAGATTTGATTTGTGATTTAAACTAAAAAATCAATTTGAAAAATTTGTAGAATAAAGGAAATAATTAAATAAATATTCTAAATATCTAAGGAAGAAGGATATTATTTTTAAAATTAATGATTAATGCTAAAAGCTTCTGGGTCATTATTTTTGGTCTGAAATTAATTATGGCTTATGAATGTTTTTCAAAAATAAAATTACCTAAATTAGGCGTGATTGCCTCTTGATTGAAACGCAATTTAGACGTCATTGGTGACGTGTCAGGTGTTGACACATGTTGACACGTGTCATATTTTTACACTCAGATCACGCTCACGATCATGAGAAGGAAGCCTCTTTCGTCGATATCCTTGTGTCTTGTCTACTTGCATTTGCCGCATCATGGGTGCCATAGAACTCCGCTCACTAAAGCGCTGCAATGAATTTCGAGCATCCGGAGCATGCTGTGTAGAAGGTGCTGCGGAACTATCTGGTAAGAATCTAGTGAACTCCTCAAGCAAATCTCGATGATCCTTAAACAGGAGGAGGAGGTAGTGTTGGTGAGGGAGCAATCACTTCCCAGAAACTTGGGCACAACACTTTCCTGCCAAAGTGATATGAGATAACCCTTGACGAGGATGAGGCTCCTCCAAAGAAAACGGTTGAATTTGAAGAAGCTATGAGTTTTTTGAACAAGATAAAGAAACGATTCCAAAGTGATGAGCATGTTTACAAATCGTTCTTGGACATTATGAATATGTACCGCAAAGAGCATAAGGTCATGGGTGAAGTTTATAGTGAGGTTGCTACCCTGTTTAAGGATAATCGAGATTTGCTTGAGAAGTTCACTAGATTCTTACCAGATAGTTCCGCAACACCTTCTACACAGCATGCTCCGGATTCTCGAAATTCATTGCAGAACTTTAGTGAGCGGAGTTCTATGGCACCCATGATGCGGTAAATGCAAGTAGACAAGACACAAGGATATCGACGAAAGAGGCTTCCTTCTAATGATCGTGAGCGTGATCTGAGTGTAAAAATGTGAGTCAACAGGTGTCAACACCTGACACGTCCCCATTGACGTCTAAATTGGGTTTCAATCAAGAGGCAATCACGCCTAATTTAGGTAATTTTATTTTTGAAAAACATTCATAAGCCATAATTAATTTCAGACCAAAAATAATGACCCAGAAGCTTTTAGCATTAATCATTAATTTTAAAAATAATATCCTTCTTCCTTAGAGATTTAGAATATTTATTTAATTATTTCCTTTATTCTACATATTTTTCAAATTGATTTTTTAGTTTAAATCACAAATCAAATCTTTATTTTGTTTTCCTTATTAATAATAATAATAATTTTAATTTTTAATTTAAATCACAAATTTTTTTTTTTATAATAAAAAAATTATTATAAAAAAAGTTAAATCACAAATCAAAATTTTATTTATTTATTTATATTAAATCACAAATCCAGAACTCAGAGGCTTCCGAGTTTAACGACTCTTATAATATCATTCTTACAAATTTAAATTGAGTTTGTGATAAATAAAATATGTCAAATGAGATCTCATTGCGTAGATCTCGAAAAGTTATGTGGAATCAAAAAAAGAATTACCTGATTTGGATACCTGAGTAAAAAATTATGGCCTTTAGAAGTTTTATGATTAAATTATTATTTTTTTGTAAAAAAAATATGACACGTGTCAACACCTTATGAGTGACGCCTAAATTAAGCATGATTGCCTCTTGAGTGACGCCCAGTTTAGGCGTCATGCCCAAATTAAGCGTCATATTGTGCAATACTATAATAAATGCGTAATTAATTTATTAAATAGCATTAACTTAATTTTTTTGCCTAATCCTGTCAATTTAATATATTTATAAGATACAATTTAATACAGTTTGAGATAAACTTAGAAAAATTTATAATTAGATACAATTTAATATATTTATTTCATAGTTAATGTGTAAATCTATTCGTAATTATGTATTTTTGATATATTTTATTTAAAATAATGAATTTAAATTTTTTTAAATAATTTAAAATAGAAATTAATATAAATAAATGAAAAGCTTAAACATAAAATAAAAAAGAATTATATGAAAATCTATTATTGAGAATATTTTTGTCTATTTAAAGCATATCCGGGCACAATCTGATTCACATTAAATAGCGAATAAGATACTATTGTCCTGTCAGATAGCTTATCTAATGCACATCAAACACAATATAATATATGAGAATATCATATCATATCTTGTTATACTATGAGCCCTTATCCACCAATTCTCTTCCTCTGTTTTCATCTCAAAATTCTCTTTCTCTATTTCTCCAAAACTTGCTTTTCACTCTTTTTGTCTCAATTCCTTATTTTTGTTTTTCTCTTTTATAAACCCTAAACCTTAAACCCTCACACCAAAGTAAGAGAGAGATAGAGACAGAAGAAACCTTATTTCTTGTTTTTTTTGTTTACCTTATTTCTTGTTCTGTCCGATCAAACCGTTCACTCTTTTTTTTTTTTCTCTTGTCGATCTACTTTACTTGTTTTCCAGCGAATTTTCCTAGGAAAATCTGGTGAACCGATAAAAGATGAAGAGAGTAAGGGATGATGATATTTATGCTGGTTCTGGTTCTCAATTCAAATGCCCCTGTAGTTCCTCACGTGGTGATTCCTATGGCCAAACCCAAGTCCCAGGAGGAGGAGGAGGTAGTGTTGGTGGGGGAGCAATCACTTCCCAGAAACTTGGGCACAACACTTTCCTGCCAAAGGGATATGAGATAACCCTTGACGAGGATGAGGCTCCTCCAAAGAAAACGGTTGAATTTGAAGAAGCTATAAGTTTTTTGAACAAGATAAAGAAACGATTCCAAAGTGATGAGCATGTTTACAAATCGTTCTTGGACATTATGAATATGTACCGCAAAGAGCATAAGGACATGGGTGAAGTTTATAGTGAGGTTGCTACCCTGTTTAAGGATCATCGAGATTTGCTTGAGGAGTTCACTAGATTCTTACCAGATAGTTTCGCAGCACCTTCTACACAGCATGCTCCGGATTCTCGAAATTCATTGCAGCGCTTTAGTGAGCGGAGTTCTATGGCACCCATGATGCGGCAAACACAAGTAGACAAGACACAAGGATATCGACGAAAGAGGCTTCCTTCTCATGATCGTGAGCGTGATCTGAGTGTAAAAATGTGGCACGTGTCAACATGTGTCAACACCTGACACGTCACCAATGACGTCTAAATTGGGTTTCAATCAAGAGGCAATCACGCCTAATTTAGGTAATTTTATTTTTGAAAAACATTCATAAGCCATAATTAATTTCAGACCAAAAATAATAACCCAGAAGCTTTTAGCATTAATCATTAATTTTAAAAATAATATCATTCTTCCTTAGAGATTTAGAATATTTATTTAATTATTTCCTTTATTCTACAGATTTTTCAAATTGATTTTTTAGTTTAAATCACAAATCAAATCTTTATTTTGTTTTCTTTATTAATAATAATTTTAATTTAAATTTTAATTTAAATCACAAACCAAATTTTTTTATAATAAAAAAAATATTATAAAAAAATTTAAATCACAAATCAAAAATTTATTTATTTATTTATATTAAATCACAAATCCAGAACTCAAAGGCTTCCGAGTTTAACGACTCTTAGAATATCATTCTTGCAAATTTAAATTGTGTTTGTGAGAAATAAAATTTGTCAAATGAGATCTCATTGCGTAGATCTCGAAATTTTATGTGGAATCAAAAAAAGAATTACCTGATTTGGATACCCGAGTAAAAAGTTATGGCCTTTAGATGTTTTATGAATAAATTATTATTTTTTTGGAAAAAAAATATGACACGTGTCAACACCTTATGAGTGACGCCTAAATTAAGCATGATTGCCTCTTGAGTGACGCCCAATTTAGGCGTCATGCCCAAATTAAGCGTCATATTGTGCAATACTATAATAAATGCGTAATTAATTTATTAAATAGCATTAACTTAATTTTTTTGCCTAATCCTGTCAATTTAATATATTTATTAGATACAATTTAATACAGTTTGAGATAAACTTAGAAAAATTTGTAATTAGATACAATTTAATATATTTATTTCATAGTTAATGTGTAAATCTATTCGTAATTATGTATTTTTAATATATTTTATTTAAAATATTGAATTTAATTTTTTTTAAATAATTTAAAATAGGAATTTATATAAATAAATGAAAAGCTTAAACATAAAATAGAAAGAATTATATGATAATCTATTATTGAGAATATTTTTGTCTATTTAAAGCATATCCGGGCACAATCTAATTCACATCAAACAGCGAATAAGATACCATTGTCCTGTCAGATAGCTTATCTAATGCACATCAAACACAATATAAGATATGAGAATATCATATCATATCTTGTTATACTACGAGCCCTTATCCACCAATTCTCTTCCTCTGTTTTCATCTCAAAATTCTCTTTCTCTATTTCTCCAAATCTTGCTTTTCACTCTTTTTGTCTCAATTCCTTATTTTTGTTTTTCTCTTTTATAAACCCTAAACTTTAAACCCTCACACCAAAGTAAGAGAGAGAAAGAGACAGAAAAAACCTTATTTCTTGATTTTTTTGTTTACCTTATTTTTTGTTTTTTTGTTTACCTTATTTCATGTTCTGTCCGATCAAACCCTTCACTCTTTTTTTTTTTCTCTTGTCGATCTACTTTACTTGTTTTCCGGCGAATTTTCCTAGGAAAATCTGGAGAACCGATAAAAGATGAAGAGAGTAAGGGATGATGATATTTATGCTGGTTCTGGTTCTCAATTCAAATGCCCCTGTAGTTCCTCACGTGGTGATTCCTATGGCCAAACCCAAGTCCCAGGAGGAGGAGGAAGAGGTAGTGATGGTGGGGGAGCAATCATTTCCCAGAAACTTGGGCACAACACTTTCCTGCCAAAGGGATATGAGATAACCCTTGACGAGGATGAGGCTCCTCCAAAGAAAACGGTTGAATTTGAAGAAGCTATGAGTTTTTTGAACAAGATAAAGAAACGATTCCAAAGTGATGAGCATGTTTACAAATCGTTCTTGGACATTATGAATATGTACTGCAAAGAGCATAAGGACATGGGTGAAGTTTATAGTGAGGTTGCTACCTTGTTTAAGGATCATCGAGATTTGCTTGAGGAGTTCACTAGATTCTTACTAGATAGTTCCGCAGCACCTTCTACACAGCATGCTCCGGATGCTCGAAATTCATTGCAGCGCTTTAGTGAGCAGAGTTATATGGCACCCATGATGCGAAAAATGCAAGTAGACAAGACACAAGGATATCGACGAAAGAGGCTTCCTTCTCATGATCGTGAGCGTGATCTGAGTGTAAAAATGTGGCACGTGTCAACATGTGTCAACACCTGACACGTCACCAATGACGTCTAAATTGGGTTTCAATCAAGAGGCAATCACGCCTAATTTAGGTAATTTTATTTTTGAAAAACATTCATAAGCCATAATTAATTTCAGACCAAAAATAATAACCCAGATGCTTTTAGCATTAATCATTAATTTTAAAAATAATATCCTTCTTCCTTAGAGATTTAGAATATTTATTTAATTATTTCCTTTATTCTACAGATTTTTCAAATTGATTTTTTAGTTTAAATCACAAATAATATCTTTATTTTATTTTCCTTATTAATAAAAATTTTAATTTTAATTTTTAATTTAAATCACAAACCAAATTTTTTTATAATAAAAAAATTATTATAAAAAAAATTTAAATCACAAATCAAAATTTTATTTATTTATTTATATTAAATCTCAAATCCAGAACTAAGAGGCTTCCGAGTTTAACGACTCTTATAATATCATTCTTGCAAATTTAAATTGTGTTTGTGAGAAATAAAATATGTCAAATGAGATCTCATTGCGTAGATCTTGAAAATTTATGTGGAATC